TCCCTCTAATTCAGCGTCAAGCTTGTCCAAAGCCTCCTCAATAGATTGTGGGACAGAGGTTGCAGCTGGTGGATGAATCTGGGACTGAGAAAAGGCCTTTGCTGAGGCAGGGTTTGAATTATGATGATTCAGTCCGGACGAAAAGTTGGGACTGGAAGGTCGAGGGACAGTGGAATGACGAGCAGGGCAGTACGAGGGAGAAGAGCGAGGGAGTGGATTCAAACTTCTGCTTGTTATTACACTCTCTCCTGCCCTCTGGGGCCCTGAGGAGAACAAAGATGATGAGGAGTAATGAGGAGTTTGTTTCACATCAGATTTAGAGTAGACGGGCGTATTCCCCTTCATGGGCTGGGACTTGGTGTTTTCCTGTGGTTGTGATCTGTGCAGGCTGTGCTGTCCTGACTGGTTGGCGGGTGGAGCTTGTTCTCTTCTCTGACAACGTGTTTGCAGCAGAACATCCAGTTGAGGGTTGGAGCTGATGGCATTACTGGTGGAGTTGTGAGATGCTGACTCTTGTCCTCTTTGCCATCTGTTGGTGCTGTTCACAGAGCGGTCAGTAGAGGGAGTCACTGTGCTGTCACCACTAGAGTTGGTGCAGTTGCTGTAGCCACTAAAAGAGCTGGAGATGGGGACATTTGGGGTAATTACAGGGGCTCGAGTGGAGTTGGTTGGTGGCAGAGATGGACTGGCGTGATGGTGAGGCTGGCGGAGAACCTGGCTATCCATGACCTGATTGTGGCTCTGCTGGTGCTGAGGTAGCAGTCCTGGAGGTCTGTAGATGAGGGAATCCTGAGAAGACAAAATAAATGAGATGAGTGGTTCATTTAACATATTTCAACCTTTTCATTTTGTTAAGAAAAATACTTTCTTTTACAAATATTAACAACGTCTCTGAACAAAGGCAGTTAGTGAACAAAGATGTTGGACTTACCAGGGAGTGACTGCTGGTCCTGTTCTGGTATCTCCAGGCTTCATGTGGCCCACGTTGTTGTTGCTGAGACACTGAGTTGCTGCTGGCAAGACGAGGATGGGGAGGAAGAGGAGGACCACCCTGGTGTCCCAGTCCTGGATGAGGCTGGAAGTGGCTGTAAGGCACACTGCTGCTGCTGCCACTCGTGCTGGTTGCAGGGGGGTTTGCTGGTGACGATTGGACATGCGGCTCTCTGGCCCCCCTGGTTGGAGTTGGTGCTGAGTAAGAGCTAGCCTGGCTCCCACCTTGGCCCCCAATGTGAAGGCTCCTCTGGTTGTTAGAACCATGAGGTTCCATTGACTGGCAGGAAGGAGGCAGCCCTAGTTTGGAGCTGGAGCTGGAGTAGGAGGAGTTGGGCGAGCGATGGTTCGCAGCCTGAGTGTGAAATGTGTCTTTCTGGGCTTGAGGAACACATTCCTGGTTGTAGCTTCTGGTAGAGGAGTTGGGTGAAGGGGAGATGTTTGAAAGGGTTGAAGAGGAAGGAGGAGACTTTTGAGTGTAGCTGCCCATTCTGTGTTTGCTGTTCTCCTGTAAACAATATAAGACACAAGAAAGAAACAAAATTAATTTCTAAAATTTAAGGTGAAGGGCAGTAAATGGTTTCTTAATGAGAAAATAAATGAGATGTTTAAAATGACATTCCACCAATAAAGGCTTTCCTACTGATTGCGGTCAAAAGAAGAAGTAGTCTTGTTATAGTTCAGACCTGAAGTTCCTGCGATGGTGGGTTCTTGCGTTCTGTGGTGTGAGACTGCCAGGGCTGGCTGTTGTCCTTGTGAACAGGGTTCCATAAAGCAGGTTTTGGGGGACCATGGTGGACTGATGATGGCTGCTGGGATAAAGATTTGCCAGGGCCAGTAAACCGCTGCATTCCAGAATGAATTCCCTGCAGAGGTGGAGGTACATTTAAATTTCAAGAATATTAAGATAGCGATCTATCATTGAAACACAGTTAGGAAATGTATAATTCTTCCTTATAGGAAAATACTGTATATGCAGTTTTGATTTATTTAACACTACATGTCATAGGTTATTGTTTCTATAAAAAATCCATATTATCTCCACAGAACATTTTGTTGCGGCCAAATACCTGATCTGAACTCCTTTTCCTTTTGTTGGGACTGGGACAGTCGTCAGCAGCAGGAAGGTGGGATGACTGGTGTAGAGGCGGCAGTGGAGTGTGCTGGATGACAGAGTGCTCTCCCAATGGAGGACCTGGTCTCTTCAGTTGTCCACCGAGCATCTTCCCTGGATAGCCCCTCTGCTGGAGACACAACAAGTTATCTATCTGTGTTACAGCACCATAGGACAATGCAAAAGAATCAGAACAAAATCATTTGTTTGTGTTAATGTAAAGCAGGCTTGTGTTTTTATGATAATGAAATGACTGAAAGCCAATTAGACAGCTTACCTGATGCACCTGAGCCCACATCTCATCTCCCAGCAACGATGGGCCCCGGGGAACGTGCTGCTCCTGAGGACCCCCAAACTAAAACAGACAACAAAGACAGAATGTAAACAAGGTCATACTCTTTATCTAGCAACAACTTCTTCACATAGGTGTTGCTTCTCACCTTCAGCAGTTGGTTGGGTCTGGTGTGTGGGAGATGTGGGTTGGGTGGAGGTCCAGCAGTTCCAGCATAGCCTCCATTGTGGAGACGGAGTGAGTGCTCATTAGGCAGGGGTACAATGGGATGTCCTTGAGGCGGGAGGTGGGATTCATACAGTTGGCCTAGTTGTTCCCACGTCCTGTGAGGAGGTGGTGGGTGGAGATGAGGAGGTCTCTGCTGCTCCCTGTGGAGACCTGGTAACATTGGCTGAGGAAGCTCTAGCTTTTCCCCACCTCTCATGGGCCTACAAATAAAAGACATCAAAATGAGACTTCAATAAAACAGAAAACCTCAGTCTTTGTGATAAAAAATAATGACACACTTGTTTATAAACAAGCCAGTTATAAAACCATACATGACTTACCCATTGCCAAAGAATTTACTGGGATGGTTAAGTCCACCCATAGGACCAGGAGGTAGATGAGGAAGGAGCTGGTGTTGGTTCATTCCAGGTGGACATCTGATTAAGAACAGACATCTTGATATCCACACTTCAAGGTTTTAAATGTTTCTATCAAATCCTCACATTTGAGGTAAAAGACAGATTCAACTCGGGCAATCAACTTTGCATAGAGATAGTCATGGTTACAGACCTGGCAGGTGGCTGCCAGGCGCGGCCGCCCACAGGAGCCCATGGTCCCCGGTTGAGTCCGTCCAGTGGGAAGGAATCCCGTGTGCCACGCCCGCCAAACTGCTCTACTGCGTGATGCATCCAGCCTGTGATTGTAAACCATATGGTCATATATTGAGTGCAGAGACATATGGGGCTTACAACATTTTGATAAAAATGAATAGAGTAGGCCATATATGTCAATAATCAAATATATGTAACATATATCAGACACAACATCTATATAGATATACTTCCATTGTGGTTTAACCAGATTAGAGAAGGTTTATAGATGTATGTTACAAGGGCTCCACTCACCAGAATAGCTACGTCTGTGAAGCCCTCCACTGCAGCAGAGAGAGGGCCTCACTCCAACACTTGAGAATACTGCTGCTGTCTGAACTCCTGTTTTCAGCACCAAGAACCCAAAAGCCTAAATTGGCTGTAAACACCAAGGGGATGAGGAGACTCACTGGAGGAGATGAGTAAAGATCACGAGGTCGCTGCTGCTCCCTGTGGAAAAGATGAGTAGAATGACTGTGAGACACAGGTGAGACAGAAACACACAGAAGACTCAATAAGTTCCAGCCCCTGTCTCTTTAGAATAATTGAAAGCCCTGACCCCTCAACAGTGTCAAACGTATTCTAAATATGTTGTAGTTTTTCAATTTTCTTTGGGAACAGCGGCTGGATTAAAATCTAAAATCATTAGCACCTCTTTGTCTTATGATGGCTGCTAAGTGTTAGTTAGCCTGCAGGGGGCGCCACCTGGCAGTTGTTGAAGTGATTACACTGGGCCCAGATGGCTCAATGGCAAGCTCACCTATGTAGATGGACCTAGGGTTACTGTAATCCTGACTATGGGCCGTCTGATAACAAGAGACAGACGGTAGTCTGAGAGTGAGAGGCCTTTGTCCTGTGCCAAGTGTGTGTGTGTGTGTGCGCGCACAGAAGAGTGGGTGTTGATCAAAGCTTTGCTAAGTGTGCAAGCTGCATGGTTGTGTCAGGCTTCTGTGGTTTTAGTGCATTTGATGGAGAATAGTGTGCTCTCCTTTAAGTGGATGACTGTGTGTGTGAGTGCATCTGTGTGCAGTAGATACACTACGGTTTAATCTCATTATAGCAGGCGTGATGGAGAGGGGAGAGGGGCCAGCACTGACAGACGGTCTGAACAGGATGGGAGGATAGATTAAGGAGAACGAATGGAGGGAGGTGAGGATCGGAACCAAAACAGCCCCACACACACCTTTCTACGCAAGCCTGTGGGCAAATTTACAATATACAGACGACAAAGAAACACTGTAACATACAAGCCATAAACAAAAGCAAAGTAATCGTTGAGACAAACAAATAGTTTATGTTTAAAAATTCTTTGGAGCGCAGAACAGTGAAACGTACTGAGTGTGTACAAAATTCTAATCACTGCGTTCTCATATCAGACACGTGCAGTGAGCAAAAGATTAAAGGTGATGGTCCACAAACAGATCAGTACTTGTGTGTATTTGGTGTCCATCTCAGACTAAAGTAGCTCTGGTTCTACACTACAGCAGTGATGTGACCAGTAGTGGTGTGTACATCAGATAGAACAGAGACTTTGAAAGGATAAGAATCCCAGATAATCTCAGGAGAGATGTCCTACAAATGTACTCTGAGTACTTAGAAACACAGCCCTGTGTGAGTGCACAGGAGGTCTGATAACAGTCTTTTATTATATAGTACTGAGAGAACAGAGATGCACACAGTGTGTGATTCATTTCACATATTGGTCTTATGCAGGCCATCCACCCAGTAGTTCCTCCTCTTTTCTTCCTCTCACCAACTATGGATTTCTCTGCTTCTATTTAAAGCCCACCCCGGGATATTTTTATCACTCTACATTCAAAATTAGCTTCTTGCAAAGTAGCACACACTCAAGTAAACACACACCGCCCTCTACATTTCTGCTCTTCTGCCTCACAGACGAGTCCAACAGGCTGCTGCTGCTGCTATGTAAAAATATGCCTGGTTATGTGACAACACTCTCTTTCTCTTTGAACCTCCCTCTCTCTTCGTTTCTCTCTCTCTCTCTCTCTCTCTCTCACACACACACACACACACACACACAAACAGAACATACCTTGTAGTGTAGCACCAAATGATTGATTCACAGCTGTTCTAAGTCTTGGATCCTGTTGTCAATATCATCTCCCTGGGGTCTCCTCAACCCTAAGGACAGAAAAGACAAAAAAGAAAACATTCATGTCAAGCTGTCAAAAAGACTACTGCTTTGTCCTTTCCTTCATATTTTTAGATTTACTACCGAGGTAGCGCCTGCACTTAAGTAACCCATAGAAAAGCTCAGTCTTTTAAGCTGAGTCACTTAATTGCATATAAATGCAAAGGAATGAAACAGTAAAGACGCGACATCACAGAGGAGGGAGGAAGTGAGTGAGCAGAAGAAGCAATAAATGAAAAGCTAGTCTCGACTAGAGAGTGTAAGCAAGGACACAGCACACAGGTGGTAATTATGACTTTTACGAAGGGCGCGTCTGTCTCTTCAGACCATCTATTCCAGCTGCCATCTTGTTCTTTATGCTGCTCACATCTCCTCACCAGTAGAGTGTGAGAAACTGGATGGTGTACACGGAGCGACAGTGTTACACGTGGGTTCAGGTTCTCTCGGCTGATATCAAAGCCGTATAATGGTTCATATAAACACCACCGCCAGTGTCTCTGTTTGAGCACAATGCAGTTCATCTATAGGGGAACCCCACACTGACTCTCAGGGCTTGCCTTTAACCACAGCCCTAAAGCGCCGCCTTCCTGGGACACCACTCGCAATCAGGTGACCGGGGACGTGCGTCTGCACCAACGCAGATGTGAAAGTAGTGGGAAATTCTCGGACTCTGTGATATCATTGCTGTTTCTCATGAAGCGTACCACGTAGGTTGATTACTTGTGTGTTTAGTGTCGCAAACAGGACGTGCCAGTGAGATATAGGGGGTTTTACGGCCAGATTCAAAAGAAGTACCAAAAGCATATCACCCATGTCACCCAGAGATGACAAACATTACAGTTCCTTATAAGAAGCTGTTGTAGTATTAATGTCACTGTCTTCTTTCACTTTAACCTCAAGCTAACCACAGCACGCTGCAAAGTTCCTAGGTACTGGGAGGTGTGGTGATATTTGCTTTTGACACAGCTTCTCTGAAAGCAAGAAAACTTTACCAGGTGAATTACCAAACGTGATGTTACAACACAAAAACATTTCTCCCAAAGGTGACCTCATCATATTCAACAGTAAACATGAAAACGTGCGGTTTTTATGGTAGTTGCTGGACAAAGTAAGTCAACTTAAACCATGAGAACTTGACAAAGACAAATTAGTCACCAAAGTTACTAATATCTATGTCTAAGGTAGATGATCTAAGTGCAGTAGGCGTCATATATTCATCCCTCCCCCCCAGATTTTCACACTGGGGCCATGAGAGAAATGTATACTGGAGAGAGAGGACAGTGAGGGCACACTGCAGGAATATCTGTGGAAAAACTCTTCTCTGCACTAAAACACAGGAAAACCCTCTATAGCACTCTATAATACTGAAGTGAAGTCGTAAAAAGAGCTGTCTAAAAATAGATGGACAAATATGGGAGAGAAAAGTGTCAGACAAAGATATTGTTTTGTTCCTGCCTCCTTTTCACTCTCCCTGTCCTTCCTTGAACCCTCTAGTTAATGTGGCCATTACATAATCAGTCCCAAACACAGACAAAGTTTGGGAGGAATCACTGCACATTTCTGCATCCGTCCACCTCCAAGTTGTTGCCGGGCTCCCCGTGTGCGTCTGTTTGGGCCTGTGTTTGTTTGTGTGAGCAAACGTCAGCACATGCCGTTCCAAGACAGTGATGTGGACTAACGTGCTCTGATCCATATCCTTTAACACACACACACACACACACTCAGAAAAGTATTCCAGTCAGCGGCGTAGTTCAGCCGAGGACATCAGCAGGCAGACACTGTTCCTGTACACAAACACTTAAACGTCTGAACCTCTTTGATGGACCATTATCTCCTGCTAGCATACTTGTGGACAGCAAATCTGTCTGAGCAGAGGACACTGTGCTTACCTAACCCTTCACCCAATTACACCGAGACCTTCTTTGCTCAGCAGCAGTGTGTCAAACAGCCAAAACAGACAAGATAAAGGCTCCTATTTGTCTCACCTCATCTCCTCCAAGCTTTTGCTTTCTTCACTCCACATACAGTATGCTCTCCATTCATTCATTCATTCAGTGCAAGTAAGTTTAACTTAATTAAGAATGCATCTCAGGTCTGCTTCATTGGATTATAAAATTATACAGGCAGTAGGTTGGCCACCAACTCCACCAAATGCATTTTTAGTTGTTGCCCATTTGTCAACACGCCTCTTTTACCACAAGAGTTCTTTTTGTTACTCTTAAATGGTGCTTTTGGCAGCACATCATAGATGATTTTTCAGTGACACACCGGAAAAAAACAGTTAGCCTACATTTTTATCTGCTTGTGGGGGAAAAAAAGACCCAACATGGAAGATGAGTGGCTGTTGTAGAGAGAGCTGTTGTACTACTGCTCTTATCAACCTTATCAACCTGACACCTGCTTGAAAACACATCACTTGCTTTTGCTCCTTTTCTCACACACTGATGAAATTCACGTGTATATGACGGTAAAAAAAAGAGGAACAAACTTGAGGGAGAGGAAGCTGTCGTCACAACCACAGGAAGTAGGCCTCCCTCAGGGGTGGGTGTAGATGTGTCTGTCTGTCCACCGGGGGAGAGAACGGGGGCGAAGGAGTGTTAAGGCTGCAGCTTCCTGTCTGTGTATATTTGTACTTTGGTGTGTCTACTTGACAGTTGATGGTTAAAAAATACATGCGATCCACAGTGAGTCATAAGAGTAATATAAGTGGGACTAAAGAAATGGAGGCCACCACCTCATGGCTGGTATCCTGTGAGAGTCATGAGACAGAAACAAAAACAAGGCAGTCAGTTGACTTGAAGGCCATCCTTCCGGCTACTCTCATGGCTGTTGAGGAGAAAAGCCTCGTCTCTGCTCTTTTCCTAGCTTCTGGTAAAACAGGGTGACAGACATATGATGGCGGTATGAGTGTGTGTGTGAAAGATGAATAACTCCCTGTTTGCTTTCCACAGACACTGCGTGATTTCTCAACAGCCTGCAGCTACATTTTGGACACACCAGTGAAAGTCAATGACTCAACTTCTGGCTTTTGATTTTTGAGAAAAGGAAAGTGACAAATTAATTCAAATCAATGAGGACGTGGGAGGATCACTGTAAGGTGACAATCATTTTCCTTTCTTCTGTTTTTATGAAAACCCAAATATTTGTTCATGTATTTCCAGTTGATTACTTTTGATAACATATGGACAGACAAAAGAAAGTGCTGCTCTTTAGGGGAAATGTGCTTCAAGATCAAAATTGGAAAATCCCCCTCCCTCACACTGCTCCGTCTCTCTCCTAGTGTTTCAATTCCCCATTTACCACTAACGCACACATGAACACACACGTACACACACACACACATTATACAAGATGAGACTCTGCTTCCCTGGTAACAGCTGCCGGGGAAACTGGTAGCGTCCTCAGTAGCAGTTATCCAGTGAAGGTAGACAAAGACAGACAGACAGACGGGAATTCATAATGGAGTTTATGACTGACAAACATGTTTACTGAGACACAGGCTTCACTCACCTCACACAGCCCACTCTTCTTGCCCTCTCATCGAAACTGTTACTTATCACAGCTCAGATATGGGATCTGTAATGATGCCGACCACTGTTACTTATCACAACTCAGATATGGGATCTGTAATGATGCCGTATCATTATGGAGTAAGGTCTATGTGTTTTCTCGTCTCAATCTTTTTTAACACTGCTTCATTATCATAAGAGGCACATAGGTGGAGCTGCGATGCACTTAAAACGGATACTCAAATTCAATCATCAAACGCTGAGCATAAAGTTACTGACAGCTCATTCGGTATGAAACATTTTCTGAAGCACCAGTCAACATTAGTTCAGCTTCTATCGTCTGAAAATGACAAATTACCGCGTACAGCAGCAAGAAAGTGTAGACTGAAAACACACAGCTTTATGTACTGTACCTAATATATTATCGTTGGTTACACAAATGTTTCATATGGCTACAACAAGGAAAAAAACATAATAATTCTTACTGTAAATCCCTTTTTCCATCAGGTCCCCCTATGTTTTCCACACCTGTCTGACCCAGTTCTGACCACTTGCTACTACAGTATTTATCTCGACAAGTTTATCCTGCAGGTATGTTTCCATGCAACAGAGGAGTCTAATGATACAGTAACGAGTCCATTCCATAAACAACTACAGAGCTTCAAGAAGCAAGCTCA